CTCTCTCTCTCTCTCTCTCTCTCTCACTTCCAAAACTTTCTCATTCATGCAAGCACGAGAATTTAAATAGGCCCATCAATCCCTGACCAGAAATTCGGGTTCTGGAGATTTCGAACTGAAAAACCCATCAAAGATTTAGTAATTTGAGCGGCTGTGGTGATGGGGAAGGTGGCGGTGGGGGCGGCGGTGGTGTGCGCGGCGGCGGTATGTGCGGCGGCGGCGCTGGTCGTTCGGCACCGCATGAAGAGCTCGGGGAGGTGGGCCCGGGCGATGGCGATTCTGAAAGAGTTCGAGGATAAGTGCGGGACCCCCATTGGGAAGCTGAGGCAGGTGGCTGACGCCATGACTGTCGAAATGCACGCTGGCCTCGCATCCGAGGGCGGCAGCAAGCTCAAGATGCTCATCAGCTACGTCGATAACCTCCCAACTGGGTATTTTTGCTTCTCTCACCCGCCCTTAATTGTTTTATTTTCGATTGGGATTGGAAAGACTCGTAATTTCAACTGGGATTGGGTTTTAAAATAGGACTTTTGGGTTCAATAATTTTGTCTTCTTTTTGAAATGATTTATTTGTCCCCTTTTGTTATTTATTTTTTTAGTTAAAAGGGTTAAAGGTCGAATTTTTATGTGCTTTCTGATTAATTAATACGATTTAGTTATGTTGATTTTTCATGCGGCTCCCATATGATTTTTCGCTTCGAAATCATTCCTTTAATATTTGATCTAACTGTAGATATTGAAGTCTGATTTGCTAAAATTGGCGGTTTCCTTATCCCATGTGTGCTTCCGATGAGGCTTTCATGGCTCTCTTATTAGTTTCCGCCTTTGGTATGTTCTTCATTTCATGTGGTGTGGGCTGTGCTATTTTAGTGGATTATAATGTTCTATGCTCTACGGATCAATGTGCTTCTAATCTTTCTAGAGTGTCATCGTACTGAAAAGAAATTGACATGCTATATTGCAAATGGAAAAAGAAATGCAATTTAAAGTCTACAAGCTTTAGAAGGAGCGTTAGAAATGAATATTTGATATACTGGGTAGATTATATTGGTGATTTGGGTTCGTAAACTGACTGAGTGGCTGACTATGTGTGAGCTATATTTGGTGTCCTTTTCCCCCCTTACTTACATGTTTGCCGAATTAGGCACGATTGTGTTAAAATTACGCCTTGCACTTGAATGTCTCTGGGGGATTATTGGATCCGTAGTACATTCCTTTTACTTTATCGTTTCAGGGATGAGAAAGGACTGTTTTATGCATTGGACCTTGGTGGGACAAACTTCCGTGTCCTGCGTGTACAGCTCGGTGGGAAAGAAAAACGCATTGTTAAACAAGAATCTCAGGAAGTTTCCATTCCACCGCATTTGATGACTGGAACTTCAGAAGTTAGTATTGTATTTCTTCAGGCAATCTAACAATCCTGCTTAGATTTGTTCGTACTTGGTGGTAATTTATCATGATGTGGTTTCAGGGATTATTTGATTTTATTGCTGAAACACTTGCGAAATTTGTTGCTACTGAAGGAGAGGGTTTACATCCTGCACCCGGTAGACAAAGGGAGCTGGGTTTTACCTTTTCGTTTCCTGTGCGGCAAACGTCAATTGCATCTGGGACTCTTATTAAGTGGACAAAAGGCTTCAGTATTGAGGACGCGGTACTTTGACAGCTCTTGCTATATTGATTTTTGTTTGCTAGTTAGTCATGTAAATCATGCCTGGAGGACACTGTACCTGATACCTTGGGCATTGGAGCCTTTATGTTGTCTTTTCTTAACATATGTTCTACCTAAAACATTATTTGCTACCCACTGGTTACCTAATGTGTTCTAATACAACAACAACAACAAAGCCTTTTCCCACTAAGTGGGGTTGGCTATATGAATCCTAGAACGCCATTGCGCTCGGTTCTGTGTCATGTCCTCCGTTAGATCCAAGTACTCTTAAGTCTTTTCTTAGAGTCTCTTCCAAAGTTTTCCTAGGTCTTCCTCTACCCCTTCGGCCTTGGACCTCTGTCCCGTAGTTGCATCTTCTAACCGGAGCATCAGTAGGCCTTCTTCGCATCTTCTAATAATAAAATTAATTTAGCAGCTCTGGACTAATCTATATCGTGTGGTGCCCCCTTGTGACAGTTTCCTTTTGCTAATATTGGTGCAGGTTGAGCAAGATGTTGTAGGAGAACTGACCAAATCAGTGGAAAAAATTGGACTTGATTTGCGTGTTACAGCTTTGGTAAGTCCAGTTTGGTGTCTAATTTCAGCAAGTCGGATGTTCCTGTTATGCTTTAAGGAGCTGATTTAAACCTTGGTGATTTATTACTTAATCATTTTGGACAATCCTAACTTGCCAGGCTGATGCAGGTCAATGATACAATTGGTACATTAGCAGGTGGTAGGTACCATAATCAGGATGTCATTGCTGCTGTGATATTGGGCACCGGAACGAACGCTGCTTATGTAGAACGAGCGCATGCCATTCCAAAATGGCATGGTCTTCTACCTAAATCAGGTGAAATGGTTAGTAATTGTAGAACTATGATTTGTTGCCTGATGCTAAGGTTTAGATCTATAGTTAGAACATTGCTAATTCTTTGTTATTTTTATAATAGGTTATCAACATGGAGTGGGGTAGCTTTCGCTCGTCACACATTCCACTGACAGAATACGATCAAGCACTTGATGCTGAGAGTTTAAACCCTGGAGAGCAAGTAAAGATATTTTCTTTTACTTGTTTTTGGCTTTTTGCATGTGAAGATGGCTTGATTGATATATCATATGGATTTTGTTTTTGTTTGCAGATATTCGAGAAGATCATTTCTGGCATGTATTTAGGGGACATTGTGCGCAGAGTATTGCTCAAGATGGCTGAAGAAGCTGACTTTTTTGGTGATGTTGTCCCGCCAAAACTGAAAATTCCGTTTGTCCTAAGGTATATTCCAACATTTTTTGTAGACGATATTTTTTTCAAACCTTGTTAGCTTGAAGTATGTCATTGGACGTGTTTGTGTGTTCCCGAATTTTAAGAGGATTTGTGTTTTGAGCGGACCTTTTTCTGTGAAATACTTGGGTGTACAATATATGGTCATACTTGCATAGTCAATAAAATTTATTGTAAGTATACCTATGATGCACTTGAAGTCTTGAACCAGTTTACAATTAAACTCTCTACAACCAGAAATCAAATCCGACCCATTATATGATTATCCCATTGATATTCTGGCAAGCGTTTCAAATTTTCATTTACGGCTTTTCTTCTTGTTCTTTGCTGCCTGCTATGAATTCTGTGTCTTGATGTCTTGGAGTTGTGTGAAACCCAGATTTTGTCCCAATTTGAAAATCTAACCACAAACTTGAAGCTTAAAAGTAGCCAGCCTTTCCATTTCGTTTGCGGATTAAATTCTGGGAATGTCTTGGATTCTGCATAGACAACTGTCAAGAGTAATTGGGCAGGTCTATTCCTGAATATCAAAATACACCATCGCAATGGAGCATCAGATAATGTGGTTAATTCCATCTGTTCGGAATGGCAAGTGACTTCCACATGGTCATAACGTCTGTTTTGCTTCTCAATGGTGCCTAGATTAAAACTTGATGCTTCTGCCATTGTGGATTACTTGCCAATTGTCGTTTTTTTTTTTGTTCAAACGGAGGTCTGTGTCTGAAAGTCTATGAAAAGGTTGATAATAAATTAAGTGTTTCACCTATTGCTTTTGCTTGGATTGTGCATTAACTTTGGAATAGCGTACAATTTTCTGAATCTTTATGGTGTTGTATTATTTGCAGGACTCCTGTCATGTCTGCCATGCATCATGACTCATCTCCGGATCTGAAAGTGGTCGGGAACAAACTCAAGGACATCCTTGAGGTAAATTGCCCATTCTATTGGAAAAAAACGATCATTTTGTTATCTGGCTGTGCAACTTCAGATTTTTTTTTTCTTTTCCTTTTCATAATTCTCGTGGGAGGGTGGTTAGAAAAGTAAAAATTGATAAAAGGTTGAAGACATTATACCTTTCACTGAATAACATTTTCATAGGGTGGACATGATACGATTGTGTTTTTTTTTTTTTTGTATCATCCTTGAGCATGCACTTTTAGAAAGGGACCATAATTCCTATTTTTCTATAAAATTTCAAAGCCAATCTTTCAACAGGTGACAAGTGTTTATTGTTTTTGATTTCTTGATAATTGTAGATCTCCAACACCTCATTGAAAATGAGAAAGGTTGTCGTGGCGCTATGTGACATAGTTGCCACTCGTGGGGCTCGCCTATCTGCTGCTGGGATCTTGGGAGTGCTTAAGAAGTTAGGTAGAGACACAGTTAAGGATGGAGAGAAGCAAAAATCGGTGGTAGCACTGGATGGCGGTTTGTATGAGCACTACCCTGAATTCCGCACCAGCATGGAGAGTACTCTCAAGGAGTTGTTGGGCGACGAAGCTGCTGAGCACATTTCTATCGAGCTCTCAAACGACGGCTCCGGAATTGGTGCTGCCCTCCTAGCAGCCTCTCACTCCCAGTACCTCGAGGTAGAGGAGTCATAAAATGGTCAAGACCAGGGTAGATGAATGAAGTGTGAAATTCTCAATTTTGGTGTATTTTCGTTTCCCCTATCTTCCCACTATTTCCTTTGGATCAATTCATGTTATTCATAGCTCCTAGTTTGGAAGATCTTGCACCCCATCCGTAATTTATGAACCTTTAGAGCCGGTAATTGGCGTAGGATCATAATCGGCAGTAGGAGTAGGCAATCGGCTAAGCTTTCTTGCTGCAGCCCGTTGTTTCCCTCTGCGGATGTTTAGGCGTTGTGTTGTTGATCAATTTATAAGCTTGTTTCTCCTGGATTACTTAATAAAAATAGGGGATGTAAACTGTGAGTATGCATTTTTTGCGGAACATTCTCTCATGTTTCCCTGTTGCAAATAATACAGGTTTTTACGGGCCATCAGTTCTTGCTGATTTTTCGAGAAGTTTTCGCTACTCGTTATTGTGATACATACTCAAATATACAGGGTAGTTTTGTCGTCTAGAGTGCAGCTCGGCATCCTAAACGATGCTACTCGTTATTTTGATACATACTCAAATATACAGGGTAGTTTTGTCTGCTAGAGTGCAGCTCGGCATCCTAAACGATGCAGAGCTGCACTCTAGTATTAGTATACATCTGATCACTATGACTATCTAATTCCTTCTCTAGTATGCATTTGATCAGCTTAAGAGCGACCCTAAATGAAAGTCTTATTTCCCCTTTATTTGTTTCCTCTTCGTGAATTCGATGAAGGCATCAGACATTTGTTACCAAACTACCATTCTTGTCTTCCAAAATCCTCTCACGCTTCGAGTTCTTGAGCAGAGGAGCCGCAACGTACTCGGTCTTTTCACCGTTGATAACTGGACGGCTGCATCGGAGCAAGATTTGCAGAACGACCTTCATGGAAGGCCTACTAGCTGGAAGTCTCTCTGTGCAACTGAGGCCAAGTTTGAAAACCGAGCACATTTCGTCCAAGTAACAAGGTTCTTTGACGTCCTGGTCCAAAGCGTCGGCGATAGTGTTTTCTTCGTGAACATGGCGCCACGCCCATTCAGCGAGGGCAGTGTGTTCATCGCCGTGGTTGGCTTCCCTGCCGGTTGTCAACTCCAGAAGGATGACCCCAAAACTATACACATCGATCTTTTGATTCACTCGCGTTGTGTGGGCGTATTCTGCATTTAGGGTAAGAAAAATCAGTTTACAGATTGCTAATGTGAAATGAAAGAAAATACACATGCTTCTTTAGGCACTAAGGGCTTACTTGAGATTGCCTTTAGAAGGGCTAAATGCACTTTTCTAACTTCTAACTGCTGTTGGCAAAAAAACTTAAAAAGTGCTTATGGGTCATAGAAGCTTTATTTTTTTTTTTTTGGGTCGATTGCTTTAGCAAAAGTTTATGAGCAGAAGAGAAAACCACTTCTTGCAAAAGTAATTATAAGAAGTGCTTTATAAAGAAGCGGTCTCAGACATGCCCGAACTTTAGCATTTGTGGGCTATAAGGTTTACCTGGAGCCATGTAGCCAATGGAGCCAGCAACAGATGACATTGTAGCAAGTTCTCCTTCCTTGACCAACATCTTAGCCAGACCAAAATCTGCTATTTTTGCATTGAAATCGGAGTCCAACAAAATGTTGCTCGATTTCATGTCACGATGTACCACAGGCGGCACGCAATCGTGGTGCATATAGCTGAGGCCCTGAGCTGCCCCCACTGCAATCCGCAACCTCTTAGGCCAGTCGAGCGTGACATGATGGACTGACCTCAAGAGATTGGATGGCCTGTTTCTCGTGTGCAGCCATCGATCCAGGCTCCGATTATCTGAGTACTCGTAGACGAGAAGTTTTGAAGTCTGACTGGAAATGCAGCACATCAGCTTCACTATGTTGGCATGTCGAATTGAGCTCAAGATCTTGACTTCAGCAAGAAACTCTTTCTCAAGCTTCTCTTCTAAATTCTTATTCTTCCAAATCTTCTTCACAGCAACAACATCACCATTGCGATTCACAGGAACACGATAAACTTTTCCTGATCCGCCACTGCCAACCAGATTACTTTCTGTCAACCCCGATAGGATTTTCGGCACTGTGAAATTCAAACTCTGAAATTTGTTGAGCTTCCAGTTAGAATCACTATTTCTGTTGCAGTAAACTCTGACCAAGATGACCAAGATGGTAAAAGCCAACAAGCACAACAGTATGCCTAAGGATAAAATCAGTGCAAGAGATTTGGACGAAAGTTTACTGGACTTTCGGGATTCAGAATTGCATATGGAGAGCTTTATTGCCGCTGAGCTAGATGTGCAGAGGCCTCGATTGTCCAAGAAGCTTCCTTCATACGCAGCGTTTTCAAATTCGATAGGGATCTCCCCGGAGAGGTGATTGGAAGAGAGATTGAATTGGTTGAGCTTCAGACGCCCGAGTTGATCTGGAATTTCGCCAGAAAGTTGGTTTGCTGAAAGGTCTAATTCAGTAAGTCCCGGCAGAAGACCAAGTTTCTCAGGAATTGTTCCAGAGAGCTGATTTCGACTGAAATTCAGACTAGCGAGTGACTCCCACGACACAATATCCGATGGAAGGGAGCCAGTGAGCTGATTCTGATCAAGAGAAAGAGTCATTAAACTAGAAAGCGCGGTTAACTCCTGAGGAACAGCACCGCTAAAGTGGTTATTACCGGCGTCAAAAACCTTCAAACCTGTCCAGGAAGACACCCCGATTGGAATGTTGCCCGAAAATCTGTTGTCTCTCATTTCCAACCGCGAAAGATTCGATGACATCTTCTCAGGAAGCTTGCCAGTAAGCGAGTTGTTGCTCACCAGCACAGTAGTCAAGTTTGGCGCCGTCCACATACCGCTAGGAATGTTTCCAGACAGCATATTATCTTGAACCTTGACAATCTTCAAACTGCTGCAATTTCCAAGAGTGCTTGGCAATTCTCCACTCAGATAATTCCCATAAGTTACAATGTCTTCCAGCTTACCCCAATAGCACAAATCGTCTGGCAGTTTTCCTGTTAGCCTATTGACGCAAACTTCAAAAGCTTCGAGCTTCGAGTACTTCCCAAACTCTGGAGCCAATGTTCCTGAAAAATTGTTGTTGAACATTCTGAATTTTCTGAGGTTTGGCAGGCGGCCAATGCTCTTCGGAATTTCACCCGAAAAATCATTGAGAAACAAGGCCAACTCTGTTAATTTGGTAAGATTGCCGTACTCTTCTGGTATTGTCCCTGTTAAAGTGTTCTCAGAGATATCAAGAATGCTCAAGTTCCATGACCCAATCACTTGAGGGACCTCCCCGGAAAGATTGTTCTGTAGAGATAGACTATACTCAAATTCTTCAGCGTAAACAAACCGTTCGGGATCCTCCCACTCAAACTGTTTATTGCCAAATCAATTACTTCCAATGCTTCCATCTCCCCAAGTGTCTCAGGAAGCTCTCGAATCAAGTTCGATTGGCGTATCAATAAATTCTTGAGCTTTTTCAACTTGTTGAAACTGGAAGGCAGGGTCCAAGGCACAAGTTTTATGTTGAAAGACATGTTTAGGTCTTTGAGATTGGACAAGTTACCTATTTCTGGTGGGACAGAGCCATTGAACTGGTTCATCCACAGCTGAAGATTCTCGAGCTCTTGCAACCGCCCTATCGCGGGAGGAATATCGGAGAAGTTGTTTCCGCCGAGGATAAGCTGCTTAAGCCGGGGCAGGCTGTCGATGTCATCAGGAATCGGGCCTACAAAGTAGTTTTGTGAGAGGTCCAAGTATTCTAGCTTGGAACACTTGTAGAGAGATTTTGGGAACTCTCCGGGGAGGTAGTTGTAGCTGAGATCGACGTGTGTGAGGTTTGTGAGATCACAGATGAAGGGTGGAACCGGCAGGGTTATGTTCAAGTTGACGAGAGACAATCCAGTGACGGAGTTGTTTGTGCAGGAAATTTCAGGCCAGGAGCAGTGGGAAGAAGTGTTTGAGTTTGATGGGATCCAATGGCTGAGAAATGGTGGAGACTGTAAGTAGGACTTGAGTTTCAGAAGGACTGCTTGTTCTTGGTCTTGGAGGGATTGGGAGTTGGCATGGCGGAGGAGGAGGAGGAGGAGGAGAAGGAGGAAGAGGTGGAGGTGGGTTTGGAGAGAAGATGTTGGGGTGTGTTTAGCCATTTGGAGGGAGGGGAATTTCAAAAGTTCGTTGGTTCCCGCGGTTGTGTTGAGGACAAGTTAGAACTCAAGGGCTGTGATCCTTTTTATGAGATATGAAATTGTTAGAAATTGGGGGATTTTCCAGAATCATTGCAGGGTCACAAATGGTATGGAGTTTCAGTAGGGGACGACTTGGAAAATATATGGTCAATGGAGAAAGCGTTAAAAACCCACCAATTCTTTGTGGGTTTGTGCCCATCACTTAGCTGTTAACTCATATTCGTAGTTTTTTATTTACACTTGCTTACTGCCGTCACTTTTTCTCGATACATGCATATTGCAGTCTGACACGTAAATTAATAGTATTTTAAGCCTCTAATGATAATATTCGATAAAAATAACTTATTAAAACCATAAAAAGAGAAATTTATGCTCGCATTTCAAATTGTAATTTGTCTATAAAGATGTGTGACCTCTTACATATAAAGGAACTGAGTATTTTCATTTTCGTTTTCGAATTAGGTTTTAGTTTTACAGTCAAGGGATATGAGATGAAGTTCAGAAGCCCTACTATTTTACTTTAATGTATGTGATAGTTATTACACCAAGGGCGCGTTTACTAATCCGTAATAAGATTGAGGGGAATTGAATTGAGGAAGAATTGAATTGAAGGGGAATTTGATTAAGAGGGAATCAGAATCAGATTCCTGTTGAAGTTGTTTACTAAAGCATCTGGAATCGAAATAAAATTGGTGTTAATTCCATAAAATTTGTTTATTTATTCAGTTGAATCGGAAATAAAAATAGTATCATTACCAAACTACCCCTTATTCTAAATAATTATTTTTCATATAAAGTTATCGGAATTGATTTATATATCATATCATATTAATTCATAAAATAATTGAAGAAGCTCTTCTTAAGGTAATATTTATGTAAATAAAAAATAAAAAAGCCACCACCTCATCCCCTTCCTCTCGATGTCCCAGCATCCTCATCTCCTCCCTTTCTTCAATCCTATCTTTCCCCGACCCCCACAACCTTCCCACAACCTCTCGTATTCACAGGTCCTCCACTCCTCCTCCCTTCCATCCATATCCTCTTCTTCCCTAGCCCCCACAACCATCCCACCACCTCCCGAATTCGCAGATTCATATGCATCCTTATTTGTCTCTCTCGTTCTTAAATTCTGCAAGTGACGAGGAGAATTGGAGTTCGGGTGTGACCGGAGCCAACGCTCCTCCTAGGAAAATTGGATGAGACTGGAGAAGATAGTGATATGGGTACCTCTATTGGATTTGGCGATGAAGTTTGTAAGGCTATTTTGAAATTAAGAAAATAAAGTAAGGTAATTTTGGAACAAAACTTTGATTCCTGGATGTAACATTCCACATCGTCCAGGGGTGATGATCTTGTAAGCCTTATATGTATATTTTTATCTCTACCTAGCACGAGGCTTTTTGGGAGTTTACTGGCTTCTGAGTTCATCGGAACTCCGAAGTTAAGTGAGTTCGCGCGAGAGCAATCCGAGGATGGGTGACCCACTGGGAAGTTCTCGTATGAGTTCTCCAAAACAAAACCGTGAGGGAGTGGTCGGGGTCCAAAGCGGATAAATATCGTACTATGGTGGAGTCGAGCCCGGATTGTGGTGTGGGCCTGGGCCGGGATGTGACAATTTGGTATTAGAGCCAATCATTGGCCAGAAGTGTGTCGACGAGGACGTTAGGCCCCTAAGGGGGGTGAATTGTAACATCCTACATCGTCCAGGAGTGAAGATGATGTAAGTCATATATGTATATTTCTATCTCTACTTAACACGAGGCCTTTTGGAAGCTCACTGGATTTGGAGTTTATCGGAACTCTGAAGTTAAGCGAGTTCGCATGAGAGCAATTCCAGGTTCCAGGATAGGTGATCCACTGGAAAGTTTTTGTGAGTTCCTAAAAACAAAACAGTGAGAATGTGTTAGGAGTCCAAAACGGATAATATCATCCTACGGTAGAGTCGAACCCGGCGTCTGATCCGTCTTCCTCCCAATTTCTATTTCATCCTTCTTTCTCAAAGACGACGACGTGGAAGATGGTTCACATGGGTTCCAGCGGGGGCATATAGCGTCGGCGGGTTATCGATTGGAGAAACTCCATCTGCCACTCTCTGCCTGTTGTTCGTCTGTGAGGAAGAGGAAGAGAGGGAGGTGGTGTGGTACCAGATTTGGACGAGATTGAGGTTGGTGTGTCTCGCCGGAGAGGGGTTGTATGGCCTGCATATTTTGTATTTGAGTCTTTCAGTTTTAGTTTTTAATTAATTAATTATTTAAAAGATAAACCTTGTAGATTTATTAATATTGTCAATGGTGATGTTAGGTCCGCAGTCGAGATGTTTAATTTTTTTGGGTTTAGTTTTTGTTTAATTAATTTTCTTAAAAACTAAAACAGATAGAATTTTTAATAGGAAACGTGGCATCCTCCGATTAGATGAGTACACCAACTGTTCATGATGATGTGGGGTTCCCGTCACTTCAGAAAATTTCTCCCGCTGGTAAATTCCTCGTAAACACGCCCCAAAAGTGGACAGAAAGAAGAGAAACCACATGCTTGTAAGTTAAAATATAATTTACCAAAGTTTTAGGTTGCAAGAATTTCAATTCCACTTTGTCCGTTAGCCGAACGTGAGGTACGTGAAAAGCGAAGGCAAGGAAGATTCCTCGAATCTGAAGCGTGGACGAACGCCTTCGTTGAACGAAGACTTCTAAGAACGAAATTATTATATTTTCTTGTGGAAGACCTTGACCTAATCAAAGATAAGGATTTTGATCCCATTTTTTCCATCGGAAATTTATGATTTGGAGGAATGAAAACAGCACGACTGGGTTCACTGACATAGACAGTAAATGACGAGGGCGAGTGCATCAGGCCTTGTTTTAAAAATCTTCACCGAACGTCTAACTTTTATTTAGATGCTATACGATTAACTACCGTCCCGACTAATTTTTAAGAGTTTGAAAATTAAAAAACAGTGCTTAGACTTGTTTAGACACTAACTTAAGTTGCGACTTTCACTTTGACCAAAAATAGATTGTTTTTATTTTGAATTTTAATTGTTTAAGGAATTGTAAGAGACTTGTTGAATACTTAGATGAACACACATTATATATTTGTTTCCAATGTTTTAATTATGTTCTAATATTTTATAATCATCATGTTCTTCAATTTTTCAGTTTGTGTATCCCAATGAAGTTGTGTATTTTTTAAGTATAAACAGACATTTATTTATACAATATACAATAAATTTACTTAAATCCGCATAGTCTCCCACATAAGCTCCACCTAGCCGCTTAGGCTCTAGGCCCTAACCCACCGCCCGGCTAACACCTAGCGTCGTTTAGAACCTTGATGTCAGGTAATCAACCATTGGCGCTCTATTTTTCATGTCAAATCTCTATGATTAATCAATTTAAATACCGAGTATGCAAGAGGAGAAAAAACATGTACGAAAATTACTTCTGGAAAACAAGGGCAGAAGGTGACCAAGTGGCATTGGAAAACAAGGGGTTTTGTAGTTGGTGTTTGTTCTCCTAATACGCTCACTTTTCTTTCTTCTGGAAGATGCACAAAAAAATTCAAACATTCATTTGGGGTGCTAGGAGAAAACAAGAGAAAGTGATATTGAATCGACTGCATATTATTCCACCCACGCACCCACCCACTTGGACGGTTCAGTGCATGCTTTAGAAAAATGATCAGAAAGTGACCAAATTAATGTAAACATAATCTCTGATATTATACCTCCCCATGCATGGTTTTAGACCAACAACTATATGGATACCCTTATTTCTAGAAACTGATACTGAAAAATCAATAGCCAAATCTTTGACCAATCTGTGTTCGATTTCAGGCACCAGTGAATCACAAGATGGTAGTCAGGAAGAGGCTGAAATGCCTTTGTGAGTCTTCCCAGCCCCTGTAATGGTAGACTGACGTAACTAGTCCCTTTTTATGGGGAAAAAAAAGAAGAGAAACAATTGATCTATTTTTCGGATTCAACTTCTATGCTACGTATCATTAAATTCTACGAACATTGGATTGTTTGAATTTTTGAGACTATAGTAACTCATTAAAGGTACATAACTTATGGGCGTGCAATTTATTCTAACGACATATTAGTAACAACTTTTTACTCACGTGTCAAACTGTAATTAACAGATAAATTAAAGGGAGCTTTAGTGAAAATGGCTTCTCAAAACTTTTAATTAATCAAAAACTATCTGCAAACTTTATTTAATAAAAAGGGCTTAAACTTCAATAAAAATGATTCAAATTTTAATGAAAATGATAAAAGTTTTACATAATAATAATAAAATAAAAAAACAGCCAACACATTTTGACGCGCGGGACCACACGTTCACATACTCTTCCTCACTCAACCATTCAACCTCTTTCTCTCTCTCTCCCTCCCTCCTTCACATATTCCCATCAATTTTTCTCTCTCATTTCACCTCATACATCCACATCAACTTTTTTTTTTCTTTTTTATTTTCACCTCTCCCCACTCTTCTCTTTCCTTTCACCTCACTCTATAAACAATTTATTTATTTATTATTTGTTTATTTGACTATTCTTTCAATTTTTTTAGGACAAACTAAGTAATAATATTACAAGATCAAAAATAAAGAAAATTTTCATTATTCAGTTTTATGAACACCAATACTGTCACTATTTATTAAACAGAACATTGACTACTTCTTAAATTTGAACATTATTTCTTAAACTGAACATTGATTACTTTTTAAACCGAACACTAATTCTTAAACTGAACATTAACTACTTCTTAAACCGAACAATATTTCTTAAACTAAACATTGATTATTTCTTAAATAGAACACTAATACTATCACTTCTTAAACTGAACACTGACTATTTCGTAAGCTGAATACTAACTATTTCTTAAACTGAACGCTAGTACTATTACTATTTCGTAAACTAAACACTAACTATTTCTTAAAATTAAAATCTTGTAAACTAAA